GTGTATGTGTTATGTGCATGGATAAGTGAAGTGGTCAAGCAAACCATTAAAGCTTTTCTCTACCACATAGCAATGATGTCATGTTGGCCAATGTGCTTCCCCTTTCTGAGTCTCAGTTTCTTTATCTGTAAAAATTACTGAACTAACAGAGTTGAGATAATCACATACTTTAAAAATAGTATAGTAGGGTGTGTGGAACATAGAAAGTATACAGTAATGGAAATTCTTTTTTTTTTTTTTTGTACCGGGAATTGAACTTAGGACCTTGCATTTGCCAGGGTAATGTAGATTCTTTTCCCTCAGAGCTTCTTTTTTTATGATTGAAGCTATTTTATACTCTTATATATTTCAATGATCAACATATTCATTTATTCACTGGTGAATTGATGAAGGCTAATGTTGGATGGTGATACATTGTTCCCACTGAGGGATTTTAGAGCCAAATTTCCTACTCCTTTTAGACAAAGGAATAAACACTAGACACTATTTTCTGAAAGACAGACATTGCAGAAAGTATATAAAATGGAGAGGGATAAAAGACAATGTACTGTATATTAGGGTTCTGCCTTACTATATCTTTGCTAGCATATCTTGTAAGAGTATATTTTTATCATTAAAACTAAACTGAAAATGGAATACGTTGTAAAGAACATCGCTGTGTAAACACAGACAAATGGCTTCGCTTTTGCGTCCTCATTTAACAATAAGATGAGATCAGATGAGCGCTATTGTTCCTTGGAAGGTTACAAGGAGATAGGTGCTTTGCTATGGAATACTAAGATTGCATTACTTCGTCTATCTTTCATCTGCATAGCAGCCCTGAGAAAAAGCCTTCTTCTAAGGAACAAATCAGTACATGATTTTTTCAGGTTATTGAAGACTAATTCTGCCAATTGTAAGATGTTATGTTGTAATTAATTACCAGTATTGCTAAACTCCAGCATTTTCACACTAACTCTGAAAAAGTAGGATATCCTGTATCACAGCTGTAAGTGATAACAACATTTAGCCATACTTTATAATGCTTTGGAAAAAGGACAAATGATTAAACAGAGGCTGAGCAATTTACTCAAAATTAATTATTAGCTTGTGGTCAAACTATAATTCATGGATTTCCTAATTTCTGTTTCTCAATTTGAGTAAATGCTATGCATGCCCTTTGAGGTATCAGAATTAGATTATTATATGGCAATTATCAAGTATGGCAAAGTTCAAATAGGGTACTATGACTTTTTATTCACTAATACAAAAATATTTGCTATTGGGTCTCATACATGCCCTGACTTGATAGGTGATGTGATGTTTAAAATGCACACACACGCATGTGTCTAGAAAATCATCAGCCATGCCCTAGGTGACACAAGATATGACTGCATGTCTACACTTGTCTTTTGACATAGATTTGTTGGTGTCTCTGTGTGTGAGATGGGGAGAGAGAGAGAGAGAGAGAGACAGAGAGACAGAGAGAGACATTAACTTGATATTTTTCCCATCTACCTATCCTATTTCAGTGTTTTTTTCTAGGAGCCCTGGGAAGCTAGCTTGAGGTTAGTAAGAGGCTGAACAACTCAGTGTCCTGTGGGTTGGGAACTGCAGGTGATCTCTAGGAGCAGTCTGAGTCTCTAGGCTTCCATAAGAAGCTGTTAACAACTAGCTTGGGTTATGCAGGCCTTCAGACAAATCTGCCACCCCAAACTTTGTAGCAGTGGATTTGGGAACAGGGCAGACTTCTTCCCCAACCCTGGCCACTGTCTTCTGCAGAGGTTGGGTCTCCCTTTCTCGTCTCGTTTTTATCTCTATGGAAAATTTAAAGGTGTGGTTTCCCACAGGAGCTCAGGGGAGATACTCTACTCATGGGGCACTTCCTGGGCCAGTCTTTCCCCACCACAGACCCTGGTGGCTCCTTTATAGGTGTACAAATTTGTAGTGTCCCTTGTAACACAGGAACTCAGAGGGGCATCTGAACCCCAAAGGCACAGGTTCAACAAAGCCCTACATGAGGCTGGGTGGGTCACCTCTGAGATTTATCCCATCAAAGCTAAGGCTCTCAACAACTGCTTGGATCTGATTACAATGGATCCTAGGATTTAATTGCTCAACAATGGTGAGGCTCTTGTGGCAATGGTAACTCTCAGAACAGCATGTTGGCTGGTCTTCCAGAGAATGTGTCATGACATTAGCTCTCTTTTCAATGGCAGCAAAGGCCCAACCTGTCCTGAGAAACATCTCCCAGGAGAGATATGAAGTGTCCTTTTGTGTATATGCTGTTCCATCTAAAATTAAGCCTGATACCACTCAAGTGGGTGTTGCAGAAGGAGAGGAGGATACCCACTTTTATCTGCCACACACAGGGCTCTGGACCCTGGAAAGTTTTCCTTCTAGTTCTTCCTGGAATCAAGGAACACATCGTATAAACCCTTCTGGGTATTGTGGAAAGGCCTTGATTTGTTTTTATTCACTAGTACAAGGGTCCCAGAAGTAATAAAACCTGAGATTTTTACTGACAAATAGGACCACATTGATTTAGGCATGGACCCTATGCCCTGGGCCTTCGTGGTAAAAACTGGTGTCAGAGGTTAGAAGCACCCCTGCATCCACGAGAGCCTTTGCTTACCAGGCTGCGCACTGGTTTTAGAATTAGCCAGAATAATTTTTGAGTATGTAAGGCTACCTTATCTGTCCACAGAGATCCCTGGATCAGACCACAGAATGGGAGGTGTTGCCTTCATTTTATTTCCCTCTGCAGTTGAGGATCGGATCATCTATTTGCCTGGTGAAACAATGACTTGGCAAACTTCTCACTCCTCTCCTGCCATGTGCTATGCACAGGGGCAAGTGATGCAAGAGGAATGGGGCTGACTTTAGCTCCATCACAGATGTTTGGCCAAGTGCAGGTCTGCCTTCTCGCTCCCTTGCCACCTGTTTCTCTCTACCAAAGTCAGCATGTGAGATCTGTAGGGCACAAAGCTGTGCGTGACCCTTCCTTGAGCTGGACGCTGTCATCTAACTGGATAAACTAACAGGCTAGCAGATCCAGCTGGGGACGTTTGTACTGCCCACGTCTGTTGCAGCACATGGCGCCTTCCCCAGAAATGACTGACAGAGCTCTTTCACTGTGTAATGTGTTTGTCTGATGCCTCCACTCTAATACCACACAGACTGTCACGCGTTGGTGAACAGCCTCAACTTGGTTGCAATTCGTAGACCTCATAAGGAGGGATTACTTAAAAATTGGATTTGAACTCTGCTGGTTCCAGGATGGCAGGGCTGGCTGGAAACATTTGGAGACATACTCCTTAATTGGCCCCATAATTTTATACAGGAAGAAATAGAAGCAGAAAGATTCACTGACTCCCCTAAGGACTCACTCAGCCAGTGAGGATTAGGACTAGGGCTGGAACCCTTGACCCTCACTTCCAGCCCAGTGCTTTCTCCAGCTCAGCCTGTCTCTACATGTTCAGTTTCATTTCATCTTCAAAATTTGGTCCCTTGGAACCCTTCCTGGAATCGGGCTAAAGTAGTTTAAAGCACACTTTTGGGAAGAGAGAGCCACGAAGTCTCTAAGTGGTTTTGATCAAGTTTGCCAATATTTACACCCTAGGATAATCTGCGTAAACTTCATAAATAATGCAAATTTCTACCAAGTGAGTTAACTGTGAGCTACATAGTCTTTTGACAAATCCATGTTATGCAATCACCCTGGCAAAGTTAACAACGCAGTAGAGTACTGAAGGTAACCACTGATTGCAGTCACTGCTATTGACCATTTTAAGTGTGACTATTTTTAAAATACTGTATGCCTCATTAAGCTGTGCTCTGAAAATGAGAAATTTGCTTTAACTGCATTGTTTTGAATTGCTGAGAGAAGAATCTATCAACCACAAAGTGCCCTGCTGCTGAACTCAGCCAAAAAGCTGTTAATAACTCCAGCAGATGTTTCAGCTTTTTAGGCCAATAGACTCCCTCCCTGTCTGCCCTCCCCTTTCCAGAATCTGATGCCAATATGACTGAACTCCAGTTTTTGTAGTTACTGCTGCCACTGCCGCCGCCGCTGGGGCTGCTGGTACTAGTGCCGCTGAGGAATGATTCTTCACACCACCACTGGCAACAGAACTTCTGCCCTTTAAGGTCAGAATAGTATTGCTTTTACTGTCAGAAGTTTAAATCTTGGGGTAGGGGAGTGAAGGTAAGGACACAAAATCAGTATTTCTGTTTTGCTGTCTGCCTTCATTGCTATTCATTTGTTTGGCTTTTTGTAATTCTTCCTGATGCTAAAAGTCCATTTCTCAGACTCATCAGAGTGCTGGGTTTGTTGACCTCTAGGGTCATTAACACGCTAACAGTGCTGTGGGTCCTGAGAAAGGGTGTTGGGTTAGAAGCTTTCCAAAGGGGGCCTCTGCATGATGCAGCTTTGTGGGGTTGTTTACCTGATGCCATGTGACTCTGAATGCCCTGACCTGAGCAGCTCTGCAACACTAGATGTGTGTTTTATAAATATAACTACAGCCCTGTGAGATTGATAGAGTATAAGGGAATACAGGGTTACCTCAGTCCTGTATTGGGATCTATCAACATCTCTGGACTGGATAAACCTGGCAGCTTCACCTAAAATTAAATCTATGTCTCAAAGCTTTCAAAATGAGAAGAAATTAAAGGAAAAAATGTGAAGAAATTAAAGGAAAAAATGTGAAGAAATTAAAGGAACAAAAGGGAGAGAGGCATGGTAAGATCCTGTCCCCCCTCCCTCTCCTCTGCCCCACCCCCTACTCACTTATCATGGAGAGAGTGCTTTAAGGCACCCCCGTGACAGCCGGGTGACCAAGAAAACACAGGTGCACCACATTTCCGGAATGCTGCTCTGGCTAACAGCGCATGTGAACTGCACATCTATACATATCATCCTGCAGAGAATTGCTGTTTCAAAGGAGGAAAGGACTGCGAGTCAGAATAAAGTTCATAAATATTTTGTTTCCTTGTTTTGATGCAACACAAAGCTAGAGTATCCAAGGCTCTGTGGACCACCTCTACTGTCGGCTGGAACATTTGCCAACTATAGCAATTCAACCCCCAAATCTTCACTATATTGCCATACTGGTTATAAAAAGTAAGTGCCTTTTCTCTGATACCACTGCTGCCATACTATTTGCAGGCGCTCATGTTATGTATTTCTAATTCTCAGGAAAAGCTCCAGAATGTGATGCAACTACTTTTAAGAGGATAGAGTAATAGGTTCCACTGTGGCTCGGTCCACATTTTCTTCAGCAAATGGGCAGCACGCTCATTAATGGTAATGGAATTCATACATATGTAGCGAAGGAAAGGTAGACTTCCTCGTGCCTGTGTTTGTTTTTTTATTAGACTAAGAGCAATGCTACATACTTGGCGAGTTCAATGGCATCTGTATTTTTTAATTTTGAAATGTGAGAAATATAGATTAAAAATTGTGCTATTCATTTTGAAACACTGTTCCCAATAGCAAAGGAGATGGACATTTCTGCTTAGATTATCATGATTTCAAGCCACCCCTATCAAATTATGACTCTTTAGTAAAATAAATACCGATAAAACAGGCTCTTTTTTTGGTACCTGGAATTGAACTCAGGACCACCTTGCACTTGCCAGGCAGGTGCTGTGCCACTGAGCTATATCCCTGGCCCTAAAATAGGCTTTTAAAAATCAACAAAAACTCCCTACTGAATCCATAAAGAATATATTCTTACTATTTAAAACATCCATATGAAGTTACCCATGTGCAGTGCACAAGATAAGGAAGACAATTGAAAATAATCATGAGTAAAGTGAGATGCCAGACCTGCTAGCTGTGGACACTGGGTCTAGGCATCAAAAAGCTACCTGGAGATGGTTGAGGTCCATGTAAGTCCAGGCCGGTTACTTCATTAGTCTTGAACTTCACCTGGAATCTTCTATTGCAAGTGATGATTTCCAAGCTATTTTGTTCTTAATTGTTTCCAGCCCAAGTAAAACGGACAATAAAGAAAAGATATTTCCACACTGTTTCCATGATGGATGTTCAGGACCAAAATAACTTCACCATCTGATGTATTTCACAGTTTTAAGTTAAAACAGACATACTATAATATGCTCGTACATCTGGCTCAGGTGCTTCGTTTGCCATATGTTTGTGAAATAATCCGAGGAGATGTTACAATTGTATGTTCCCCTAGGGACCTGAATAAAACGTGCCCACAAAGAGTTACCTAATTATTCATTCCTGCCAACAACATCCTCACCTAATAATAAGGTGGTGCTTAAAGTGAGACAATAGTGCTTTCAGTCTTGAGAGATGTCAGTGCCACTTATTGTTTCAAAAACAGAAAGTCTTTTGCATTTTTTGAAATGAAAAAAAAAAAAAGATCCTTGGCCTTTAAAGCAAATGAAATCTCTGCAGGTGGTATATTTGGGATTCTTGTGTGTATATTTGGGATTCTGTAGTGCGGATCAAGGCCCAGTGTTTCCTAAAATTTACTGGATGCTAGCCCGTGTAGCCACAATGGAAACTAGTGACCCCGAACTGACAGTCTCTAAGAAATGGCTGTGCTGCAATACTACACGTTTATGTAGAGCTTTATCATTGACAAATTGAGTTCCTGCGTTACCACGCTTAATTTTTATAACAACTTTGTGAAGCAAATACAAAAGGCATACCTTATTTAGCTCTGCTACTTATAGTGTGGACTCTTTATAGCACCAATTAGCCAGAAGGATGAACATTTGAAAAAAAATGTGGATATTTTTGGTCTTGACCAATGAGCACCACTTGCCATAAAGTACATTTCTCACTAACAATCTGCTTTGTTCTTTCTTTCTCTGCTGTTTGCATTCTTTTATCCTGTGACTCTCATTTGGATTCCAAATGAATCATTTGGTTTTCTTTCAAGGATTCAGAAGGAGAGGAGAGAGTTAAATTAATTTAATAGTTATAATACAGGTTGACTACTAAAATTCAAATTTTAAGAGGTTCTAGGCCAGGGTAAGGGGACATGATGAGGTACCTAGATACTGGGTCAGGTGTGGAGGCACACGCCTGTAATCCCAGCACTCCAGAGACTGTGGCACGGAGATTGCTGTGTGTTCAGGCCAGCCTGGGCTACACAGTGAGTTCAAGGCTAGCCTGAACTTCATAGCAAGACCTTGTTTCAAAAAGGCAACCCAAACAACAGGAGATATGCCTAAATACTAATATAAAAAATATAGGAAGAGGGCTGGGGATTTAGCTCAGCGGCAAAGCGCCTGCCTGGCAAGCACAAGGTCGTGAGTTCAGTTCCCGGTACCGGAGAAAAACCCAAAAATAAATAAATAAATAAATAAATATAGGAAGAACAGATTTTGTGGAATGACTGGAGATGGGCCTCAAAGCAGACATGAACATGCTCTGTTCTGAATGTGCCAAGTTTGAAGTCCCTGTAGGACACAAAGAAGGAACTATTTAGAAAAAAGTCAGAGACATGGGATAAGAGCTCAGGATAGAGAATTAGATGCAAGATATTGGCAAAGACAAGATTCCTTCAACGTGAATAAGGTGGGAAAAGAAGACATTGATACTTAAGGGGATGGTAAAAGAATAGAAACCCGCTATGACAATGGAGATGGAGCACTCAGTCCAGAAGGACGTAAGCAAGGAGAGAGAAGGAAGAGACATTTATCACAGAAGCCAAAGCCAGAGGTCCAAGAATGCAAGAGTAGTCAGAGCAATATACTGTGATGTGAGTAGAGCCAGGTAAGAATGGGTCAAAGAGTGAACGGATGATATAAAATCATGGGTAACAAATTTAGGTCACACTTTCTAAAAATAGTTATCAAAGGAAGAAGCATGAGAGTCATTAAAGGGCTTTTGTTTATTTACTGTGCATTTTTTTAAGAAAAAAAAGATGAACATATTCTCGTGCCAATGAGAAATAACCAAGGAAGGATTGAAGTTTTAAAAAAATAAAAAAGATATGGTTAACTCCACTGTCCTAATGAGGCAAGGAGGAATAATATCCATAGTTCAGTGGATGGGGTTGCCTATGAGAGGGAATGTGTCTTTTGCTAGAGAGGAGGACAAGGACAGAGCAGGCACCAGAACGGGTGGGCTCTATGGGAGAAGGGAGTAGGGGGCTGTGCACAATGAAAAGCCAGTTCTGATTACTGCGAGTCCATAAATTACAAGCAACGTCATCCCAAAGAGAGAAGATTGGAAGTTTTGAAGAGTGGCAAAAGTTTGGAATAGCAGCTGAGGGAAATGGGAGAAGCACATGTAATAGGACTGCTGAGTAACATTAAAGGCACAACTGAGATTAGATTCACTCCAGATTTATGGTCCCCGTTCTATATGGTTGTGATTTTTCTTTTTCCTCCAGCAGAGCAGTGCTCAAGGAATGTTTACAGCTAAGGAGACTCCACAGAGGATTGCCTGAAGGACATGAAGTCCATTCATCTCTTCAGATAGTTTAGATTACAACTCAGGATCAAGGTAACCCATCCAAACTAAACACTTGACCCATATTATTTTGGCTCTTTTTACTATTGCTTACTTTCGTTGAACTGTATTTTGGCGTTGGACCTTGGCTGGTACTGAGGAACCCAACAAGAATCAGCCACAGTGTTAGCAACGTGGATAATGTTAAGAGAGGAAATAGCTTCTGTACCAAGGGTGCGACTCTCGTGAGGGGACAGAGAACCATTTCTCTTAGACCCAAATGCCAGGAGGCCATTAGTTTTTCATGAGCAATGACAATGCGTCTGTGTTTACATGGTACAGAGCTAGGGATAGTAAAAAGCCTGGACTTGAAAGCAGAATGCATTGAGTTCAAATCCAGTATTCAACACCTAGTAGGTGACTGAGAGTGAGCCTGTTAACTTCTCTGTGCCTCAGTTTCCTCATCTACCCAGTAGCACAAATAATAGTACCTGCTGTACAGTGCTGCAGTAAGAACTCAGTGAGACAATCATTGGGAAAATGTTTAGCACTGTATCTGGAAAATTATAAATCTTCAGTACATATTAGCTATTGTTTCTATCATTATATTACAAGCATTTTTAGTTTTGTGTCTCGCCTTCACCCTCACATGTCTTTGCATGTGCTGACTTACCTCTGGTCTCCACTTACTATGTTTCCACTTGCTCTTTATCTACACTTCACTTTTTTTTTTTAATCTGATATCCACCTCCCCTCATTTTGACATGGTCAACTATAAGAAAGTAAACTGAAAGCGTTCTTATACAAATCACTAACTATAAAGACTATTCTATTTTTGTCCCCACTTTAGGGACAGTTTCAAAGTGGTAGAAGGGACTAGGAACTTTCCTATTAGATATATTATCTGGAAATACATTTCCTTGAAGTGCATTTCACCTGATACTAACTTTTCTTACAATCCTTCATCGGCCCCTCTGAGGTCTTAGTTCGCATTGTAAATGAGTAACATGTAAATAAATAACATGTTACTTTAATTGCAAAAAGGAAAAAATTATTACAGTTTGAGAAGTAGCTAGAGTACTGCAGTAGAACTTGGACAAAATGAGAGGGTAACCAGGCCTGGGTTTAGACACCACCTCTGCCACTTCCTTGCTTTGCCCCCAGAACTCTTTCACCTCAGTTTTCATATTTGCTAAGCAGAGTTAACAGTATCCCTTTCACAATGAGATAACAAAACGACCTCCAGAACTAGAGAAGGGCTTCAGCAAAATTTAGTTAAAATCTGCATGGAGCACAGGTGTTAGCAACCAAATAATCTGTCAAACTTGTACTTATAAAGTAAAGCCAATTAATTCAGTCTTTTTAAATACATTTAAAGGCAGCCAACCTGAACATACTTATTGAACTTAGTTATTTGAAATATGTACACCAGCCATTTAGGAATGTTTAGTGAAAAGCAAAAACAAAAGGCTTTAATTGACTTTTAAGAATACCATATTTAAGAAATCTCATCTTTATTTCAGGATATCAACTTAATTTGCACAGGAGAAACATGAGAAATACCCCAGATTATATTATATATTTCTAAATAAATAAATGCTCTGAAAAATCTCCTATATGCAAATAAACCTCCTTCTTCTCTGACAGACAATACCTATGTTTTTGTTTTGTTCTATTTATCTTCTTCTTATTGTTGTTGCTTCACAGGTCAGTAAGCTTACATGGATGAAACGTAGCTTTTGTTGTTTTTTGTTTTAACTGGAGGTTTGTGGGCATGGGGTGGTTTATCCTAGAGGCTGATATCAAAAGGGTACCAAAGGCTAATTCTTTAAGGAAAGGGTAAGACTAGCTCTCCTAGACCCTTCCCAACTGTCAAGCTTAAAGTTGAAAACCAGAGGGAGTTATATTGTTCGGTCACTCCCATCCCACAGAACGCTCCTGAGGAATCAGGATCGGATAGCACAAAAAAGCCCAGCTACAATGGTCAGTCTTCAAAGGGGTTCATTTATTATATTGCTCAGCGCCCCACAGAGCTGCTCCAAGCTCATAACTGTCACTGATTTCAAAGGGAGCTCTGAACTTGCATACACTCCATGAGGCATGGCACAGGACGGGCAATGGCTGAGTGGCTTTAAGCCATGTGCAGGCAGTTTTTAATGTTCATAATATCTTCGGCACCATCACCTTCACACAAAAACCCGCTTACCTCCTGCTGCACTGCATGAAATAGAGCCATTTTCAAGCCTGGGTAGGGGATGGTCTGGAAATTGGGCTAAGTCTTAACACTGCATGGGGACTGAAAATAGGATTCATAAACTGGAGCCCAGCTCCCACCAAATCATTTCCAAGGTCAGGTCACTACAACAGTCTCCTCTGTTAGACACTGTTACAGCTACCCTTAAAGGGCGAAGCCAGTAAACCATGGTGATCTCAGTAGCTTCTAAAGGACCTTGGCATTAAACTTAAGGCTTATAGTTTCAAGATACCCCAAATAGGCTGGGAACCTAACTGGCGCAGCCCCTGGAAACTTTGAGTTAGAGACCGGCATTTCTGACCAACCTCAACCTCAGGAGAAGCTGTATGTTCCTCCTTGATTCATTATGTTATGGACAAGGAGCTCAGACTCTTTTTTCTTGCCTGCCTGCAGAAAGATTAGTCATCTTCCCCAGTTCTGCTTCTGTGGCTCTTTGGTCACTAAGGCAAGGAGAAAGAGATTTTTTTTTGCTCTCAGGAATGGCTTTGTACTCTCCAGGAAGTTCTCAGGCAGTTAATTCTCCAGCAAACTCCCTCTGTGGTCCCAGAAGTACCTTGCTTATGGAAGTGTACAGGAAGAAGGTGTCCTACTCATGTTCATGGCCCAGTAAATATTCATCAAGTCATGGGCAATGTAGTGTATTGGGTGTCATCTTTAGTAGGAAATAGAAAGCTCTCTGTCTGAAAGAAAAGAACTTAAATAATAAAAACTTAAATGTGGTTTGCAAAAGTCCAGGAATAGCCTCTGAGAGTGTGGGACCAGTTCATCTCTTCTCATAGTTCCTTTTCTATTTAAGAAAATATTGGCAAACAGTTATCTGCTATAAATCCTCACTATTAATGTATTTGTTCAACAAATACTTGCTGAACACTTGTTCATTGCAAATACAATTGCAATTGCTGGGATACCAGCAGTAGACAATGCAAGGAAAATTCCACTATCTGCATGGGAAAGATAGATGATAACAAAATAGGTAAGAAAACTCTAGAGTATCTGAAATGGTGATAGATACTAATGGAGAGAATTAGCAGGAGTGAGGATGAGGAGTAACTGTGTAGAAAGGAGCACAATCTGAAACTGGGTGCCACCCAGAGGCAATATTTGCATAAGGAATCCTGAGGGAACTTTACCTTTAAATGCCTGTCTTTTGTTTTATCTTGTTAGTCCAAATGTTAGTAGAGAGGAACTCAGTATTATATATGAAGTCTTTTCAAAACCTAGGAGGAAAGGTCACTTGCCAAAAGCTGATGAGAAGGCAAAGCTGACCAGCTATTGAATGTGTATACCAGTTTGGCCATGCAGTGCACAACCACAAAGCCATACAAAAAGAGATTGTACTTATGGTCAGGTTGTGCATACAGTCAGTGCTCAATAAACACTCTTCACTTACAGATAAGATCCATGGTGTTTGGATTAGCTCTAAAAGATAATGCTTCTGACAAAAATAATTTCTTCATGTTTGAGTCGTTTCCAGAGGCCTGTGAGATGATATAGCCATGTGGACAGATAAAATATCACAAATAGTTCTATGGGGCTGGGGATTTAGCTCAGAGGCACAGCACCTGCCTGGCAAGTGCGAGGTCGTGAGTTTGATTCCCCGTACCAGAAAACAAAACAAAAAAGAACAAATAGTTCTAGAAATGTATCAAGCCATAGATACTCATAGCAGCAGCCCTAACTTTCTTACCATTGATGAAAATACCTTCAACTAGTCTGTTTCACAGACTGCTGCCTCTAACTCAATGTGGTATGACCATGAACCTTCTACTTCTGTCCTATCACATCCCTTTACCTCTAAGACCATCATTGGGACTATCCACTGGAGATCTCCATTTCTTTCCATAAAAACAACGTAGTTCTATCCTTTTTATCTTCCTTCCTCCTTTCCTTCCTTCCTCCTTTCCTTATCCTTCCTTTTCTTCCTTCCAGTATCTATATTGTATTAGCTGTGGTACATTCCATAGACCCCCATCTTAATCATGCTAAATAAAAATTAATTTTGATACAGATACTGTTGGGGGATCACTGAAAAGACCAATATAGAATGAAAAGATGTAAAAATCCATAGTGTTACTTCTTAAAGAAAATGTCTCCGGAGAACATGAATATCGCTGCTACTATTAGCATTGGTTTCTGCCTGTTGGATACAAGGTTTTACAAGTCCTTGTTATGTGTACAATATCTTAAACCATTCTCTAACCCCTTGCTTTCTAAAATCTGGTCCTCAGGCCAAGAATTAGAAACTCCTAAGTATTGCAAGAAATGCAGAATCTCAACATCTACCCCAAGTTTACTGACTCTGCATTTAAACAAGATGTTCAGAAACTTCACACATCCACTGAAGTTTGCGATTCTCTCCTTCAAATAGTCCTGTGAGGGAATCCAAAATTCTCTTTCCTATACAGTAGATTTAAAGGTAGAACTTGTTTCCAGAGATGTTTAATTAGCTAAGAGGTAATGGGACTTGAAGTCAAAAGCCAGGATTCTTTCCCCGACACTGTGCTTCCTCTTTGGATGCTCTTAGAAGAAACTGATGCATACCTTATTTTGAATCTGATGTCACCTGCCTCACTATTTTTTTCAGTGCTGGGACTGGAACCTAGGGCCTCGCTCAACTCAGATATCTTAAGGAGCATCTGCACAGTAAACATGACCTGATATTGTTCCTGGCGGGAAGTAAGCCAAAGCTAATCTCCTGCTTGATCATATATTTCTTACGCAGGCTGTTCGATCTACCTCTTGCCTGAAAGGCCTAAAGGTTGATTACATGAAATAAATTGTATAGTTAGAGCTTTCTCCAGTCTTTTCCAGTTATTTATCTGTGAACACTTTGAGCTACATTAACAATATTTGAAATTTCTATTGTAACTTTTCTTTCCTAAGCAGGCTCTTAAATAATATATCTGACCACCTTGGAGGAAAAGAGAATGGCAACATGTAGCAATCACTTCCTCCATCCCAAGTTCAGTGCTTTTCTGTGTTATCTCAGTATTCTTAGAGAAAACTAAGGGATTGATTTTAGTACCCCTTTTTACATATGTAGAATATGAGACTCAGAGGTAGCTCATGTGGAAATGCTAGGCATCAAGCCAGATTGTCATAACATGCTGGCCTCTTTCTTGAAGTAAATCTTACCTGAATTGCCATAGAAGGCCACCTGAAGTAAGGAGAGGGAATATTACTACCTTTTGTCTTTTATTACCATGATGGTATGCCAGGTACCACTGGTCATATTTCCCAAAGAGAAAATGTGGTTAGCAAACTCCTTCTGGTTATAAGGATAAAGATAAGTAACTCCACTGAAACCAAAACAGAGGACCTAGCTAGAGGGATACAAGTCAAACATGCAGAAGCTCCCCCAAAATGATTCAAAAGTCAGCAGTGCTGCTGCGTAGTATACTTTGAAAAATGAGCATCAGTACCATATTAATTTGCTAAAATCCATATAGTTGATTGAAGCAAGACCCTCTAAACACAGAAACAGCACCTTATTCTTTAAGAAAGAAGGTTAAATAAATTTCTCATGTTGGTAAAAGGGAGAACACCATCTCCTTGGCTTTCTTCATGATATATGGTAATGTACAAGTTCATAAAACTGCAGGTCTCCCAACTCAGTCCTGTTTCTTAGCCACGGAATGTCCTCTGATCATACTTGCCCCTGATCTAGAGGGTACGTGTTGAAGCCTCTTTTCTAGTCTTAAGTAATTAAATAAAATATTATAATTACTCAGAGTTTAATATATGCTGCAACTGTTTTGCTGGCTTGGCGTTTAAAGATGCAAACTTCCCAATCTCTTCCAGAAACATGACATTATAAAGGGGACTACCATAATTAGAAATAAAACTGTGCTGTCCTCATTAACCAGAAAAGCAGTTTCTAAGCCCAAGGAGGCTCTACTTTTGTTCCAAGAAAGCTCCATCAGGAAGATGGAGCTGCAAGAGCCCAATAGAGATTTTGGGTCACCCTGTGCTCACTGGAATTTACTGGAGCCGATGTGAAACAACTTTAAAAGACAAGGAACAGTAAATACTTTTAACTGAAGAGATCTAAACAGGGAAAAGACTGAAGCATAGTTTTAAGCTCCATCTTAGTTAAAGTTTCACTAGTATTTACATCTTGAGGGCCCACATTCATTCAGCCTTAATGCACTGTGATAAAGCCGGTCCCGTAAGTCACCAGGCATGGTAACTGGTGGTGAGGCCCCTGTGCTCCTGCTTAGAACGTGTGAGCAGAAGAATGTTTTCTGGATAGAGGCTGGAAACGAAAAGTTCCCACTGATGCAGAATAGCTGAGAGTATGTGTGGTGCAAGACACGGGCCGACCTCAACAATGGATTGTAGCAGGCCTTCCTTTGGCCCTTTAAGATTCACCTCCATGTTCATCCTGCCAGAACCAGCTACATCGGGGCCTCACTATGGGGTTAGTCACAGTAAGACTCAGAATTGTAAGCACGTGCTTTTATACCTATCTGAGGGGATTTGGTCACTCAAATCACAAGTGAACCTTTTTATAAGGTGTTTAAACATGACGCAGTTTCACACATAGGAGGGAGACAAGAACATTCTAGAGGAATTTGATGTATTTGTGCTTTCTGCATAGGTTCTTGTGGTGTGCCTGCTTCCTGGAAGAAGAGCGTCAGTAGATTGCAAGTAGTACAATATCTAGACCTCATCCTCCCTTTTAGCTGATACTCTTATCACTCATCATTCAAAACCCAATTAAGCTGTGCTTCATTTATAACAAAAATACACTGGACAGAAACTGGGCTTCAGTCTCTTGTTTGTCACTAGCCAGCTCCATGGCTTTGGGAAAGTTAGCTCCCTACTGGGATTCTGTTGAGTTGTCTTGTAAGAAAAAGAGCTCAATTTATTCAGCACTCTGCAGTAGGGGCTGTGATAAGCAGTCTAATTAGATTATCTCAATGAAGTCTCACAACTGAAATTTCTGTCATAAATCTCATTTTGTGGATCAGGAAACTGAGGCTTAGAATGGCTGGGGAGCTTGTTCTAAGTGACTTACTTCAATGGGAAGGAGCTAGAACTTGGTCACGTTTCCTGTACCTGTCCTCTGAACCCAGACTGCGTGTTTCTCTAATTCTCAGATTGCCCAAAACCAAAGGGTTTTCCTATTCTATTAACTCGTAATTGTACTTAGAGATTATTTGACTTTCATCATGTAGTGTGCCTATGCTGCTACGTGTAATTTGATTTTAACTTTTTTAAATCATTTTCCCCAACCAGAGTAAAATGTCTGTGAGAGTCAATGGAAGATTGAGATCACTTACAGTATAAGTGAAGTTTTCTGCCCTTTGTACCTTCCTCCCTTCATAAGTGGAGATTACAGTACCTGGCTTCTATCACTGTTTTGATGCTCCAGGTGCAAAATGGTGGAAGATAGATAACACTGTATGAGTAGAATTTGCTTATAAAATCTTTAAATATAAATTCTCTCTAGGAAGAGTCTTTGACACCATGTGAACCTGAGAGATGTTAAAGTGAATGTGTTGATCATTGATTGGTGGTGTTTAAATTAAAAAATAATTCCTAAATGCATTCTTATTGACCCTTGCACCATAAATTGATGTGGTAGGAAGTATAGTTTAATGGTGAATATAAAGCATTTACTGAGTACTTATCTTTGTCCTAGATTTTGTCTTACTGAATGTCCTCTACCGAACTATGAGAAAAATGTGAGAAAACCAAGGCGCAGAAATACTGAGTCACTATTATTGCTACACAAGTTTTCATTGAGAACTGGGAGTGAATCAGAGACCAGGGTTCCTACAACATTCTACTGAAGATGGAATTTTCTGTAAGAGTGAGTGCTTAGAGTCTATTTATTTTTGTGTAGCATTTTGTTAGACTATCCAACTGAATAGCCATCCCTTCCATAATAAATATTATGGTGATAGGACATGAAGCTTAGAATCATAAGAGTTGACACTGAAAAAGACCTTAAAATCAGCATGCTCAATACCCATCCATTGCCTACCCAGCTTGGACACCTCCTACGATGTAGAGCTTACTGCAGTTAGAGGCAAACAGTCTCATCTTCGCACAGTTAGAAAGTGTTACCATTGAGCTACCCTTCAAGAACCTCAAACCTCACATGTTCAAACCTTAATTCATACAGCAGTTTCATAATTTTCTTTATAATTAATTGGGGAGCTGGGCTTACCAGAGGAGAGTGAGTGCTAATGAAGGTAACGTTATCCCATCAATAATTAAACACAGATTACATTTAAGCACCCATGTTTTCATTACTAAGGCCAAGGAAAGAGGTCAGTAGAAAGTGTTGTCCTATCTCCTTGGGATTTTCCAAGATTGCTTTGTCCAAGCTTAGTAGCTTAGTATTCATTTATACTAGAAGACAATTCTATCAGTCAGGGCCCTAAGAAAAAAGCAGATGAGACATTCAAAAGGGATTTGAGGTATATTAATGAAGAGACATTTACAAAGGTATGGGCAAAGTTCAAGGAACTTATTGTGTTCAAGCACAAGGCTAACAATAGTCAAGAAGCACTGGTATCTGTAGGCCTGAGGGGTGAAGGGAAGGAGCAGGCTCCAAACAAAGAAAAGAAGCCACAGAAGTTAAGATCGTACATATGGGAACACACACCAGCAAAACTATGGCCTGAGGTAGAGGCATGCTGCAAATCAGGAGTTCAGTCAGAACAGATGGATACTTTATCTTCACTGTCCTACCACTTCCAGAGTTACTGGATATGGCAAAATTCCTACTTGTAGCAAGTAGAAGAAAGTAGACTAAGGTGGATACTAAGCAATCCAAGAAGTCAGTTCCTTCAGACGCAGAGAAAGGCAGGCACACCTGCACACACGTGCGTGCATGCGCGCACACACACACACACACACACAACAAAACAAACCAGAGTGGACTTACAGATATAGATGGAGAATTCCGTTTCTACAAAATTCTGTGCTACCCTTATGTTACCTGAACTTTGTTTTCTTAATCCCCTCTTACCATTTATCCCTACCATACTCTCTCACTTCCACCTACTAAATCAGCAGTAGTTCGTTTCAAGGAAGACTTTGGTGATGGAGAGAAATGAAAAGAACACAGGTCTACCAGCTTTTTCCATAAGAAGAGGTTAGGAGTGTCTCTTGGATTGTACAAAATGATTATTTTTAAAATGACATGTCTTCTGTACCTTTACATCACAATTAACTGAGGAAACCTACAAAGAAATTATGTATAAATTTTATATGCATATACATATATTTGGAATCTCCGATTCATACTTCATATAACATTTCTTTTTTCTTAATTCCTTTCTGAGACTTTGTCTAACTGTTCTTTGTTAAATCCATTGGTAAGCTTTAAACCCTGGTAAGATAAGTTCCTAATTTTAGATTTGTCAGTTTAAATATTTTTTCCCTATCCTCAATGTATTTGAAGCCTTGCCTCCCAGAAATTATTTCCTCAACTAAAGTTTTCTGAGACCAAAGATTTCTAAACAAGGAACCTCCAGACCAGGTTTTCCAATGGCATTTGTTTATATCATTGAAGAAATCTGCTTTAACAGAATTCATTTCAGAGGAGTCTGGTACATTGGGAGAAAAAAGGAATTGTTCATTTTTTTGTGGAATCCTTGAGATGGAGATAACACAAACTTGAAAGACAAGTTCCAGAAAATGTTTGCCTCCATTTAACTTGGAGGTTGGTAAGACAGGCTTTTCCTGGGTAATTTGAGCCTGAGATAATTTTTGAACCTATATAAATCACATATTAGTTCACACACTGCACACGTACAGCAAGCCTGACAATGGAACACTAGTCAAAACTACCATATGTTGGTCATAGTATATAATAATATGGTAGGTGCACTGAGAAATAAGCCTTTTAATACATGTTCTCATTTATTCAAATATTTATTAAGTGCCTTCTTTGAGGCAATAGTAGAGCATTAAGAAAAGACTAAAACATGAATTGACAGCTTGGATGAGTTGGCATCATATCGAAATGGGAGGGCATTTCTGAAACCAAACTGTCAGATACTCTGTTCCAAAGTTGTCTTTTTGTTTGTTTAGTGCCATAACCATTAAACTATCCATGGTTCACCAGGAAGGAGGGAAGAAAATAGTGAAGCTGTCTGTGTGTCATAGGATCAGCAAATCATAAGGTGAAATTGCTTTTGATCCTCTCTCAGCAATAGCCTTGGATGCATCACATTCCCCCATCTTCATGGCAGCTTGGTCCAGATCTTTATTAGCTCCCAGGTTGAGCAGTGACAGCAACACTTTAGCCAGTTTCCTTGTTTATATTCAAAAGTACCTTCCTTTTACTTTCCCTAAATCTATTCTCTGCCATGAATGGTTTTTGTAAAGTCTGAATCAAGTAGTCATATTTCTCTTCTTAAGTTGACAGTTTCCCGTGTCTACCAAGATCAGATCCAAATTTACCAATGAGTTCCACAGCGATCTGATTGTTGTGAGCCTCTCCAATTCCTTACTATGGATGTTGCATGGATTCTGCTATCGTGACCTGAACGTATGCCAACTAACTTCTACTTCACGCTTTCATGCCTCCACACCTCTGTGCACGGTGCAGGTCTACCAGTCTTCTTTCCTTTCATGATTCCACTCGTGTTCCACAGTTCTCCTCCAATATTTCTGTATCTTTGTCATCATCTTTCAAGTATCTTTATTCCCTTAATGATACAATAGTTTCTAACTAGCCTCCACTTGGCTCCATACCCACTCTTCCCCATCCAGTCCAGTCTTGAGTGCCAGCATGAAGGTAATCATCACACACCTCTACTCCACCCTCTTCCTACCACCAATAAATCAAAGAACAGAAACCTTATAGGGGTTTATACAGGACTTACCAGCCCTTTCTCATCTCTCCTGCCTCCTCTCCTCCTTGCAAAGTTTGCTAAAAAATAATAACCTTTTTTCACACCCTTGAATGTCATATTTCCTCCCACCGCAGGCTCTGAACATGCTAGTCTGTCTTCTTAGACTGTTTGCCCACATTTCTTGACCATTCTATAGACCTCAGGAAGCCTTAAAAGGAAGCCTTTCCCGATCCCTCACATAGGTGACATTTATCTTGTGCTTTTATAGAAGAGAGTTGCTTTGCTTCCTAACATTCACCTCAGTCTGTGGGTGGTGAATAACTTGATTAATGTCTGTCTCCATCCCAGGAGCAAGTTTCATGAGTAATGTTTTTGTCCATCATTGAATTCCTGACCTACTCCAGTGCCTGTCATGAAAGGAGGGCTAAAAACTGTTTAATGAACCCATCAATCAATCCGTATTCCAAGACTCCTGCTAAATTGCTTTATTTGGAAAGCCTTGTGCCATTTTCACTGCCATTATCCTTGGTGGGGTTGGTTTTCAGCAGTCTGTGTGTTAGAGAACATAACTTCCTTCTATATTATTTCGTCAGACTCTTGAGAAGCTCAAAGTCCAGAGACAGACAAGTAGTATCTTAAGCAACTTCATGTGCACTATGTCTGACACATTGACAGTGAACAATATATTTATCTATTAGTTTTTTCAACTGAGGTAAAAGTCATTTAACATAGAACTTAGCATTTTAACTATTTTAAAGTATATCATTTAGTACACCCACAATGTGTAGTACATCCATTAACGCCATCCAGTATGAGAACATTTGCATCACCCCAAAGGAAATCCTATACCCATTAAGCCATCATTCCTACTCCTCCCTCCCGCAGGTTTCCAATGATCACTACTTTGCTTTCTGTATGCAGAGATTCCCTGATAGTAGATATTTTGTATAAAATGGAATGATACAGTATGTGGCCTCTTGTGTCCCATTTCTTTCAGTTATCATAATATTATCATATATATTTTTTTTGGCTAAATAATGTACAATGTATTGCTATATCACATCTGGTTTAACATTCATCTGCTGATGAGTACTTAAGTTGCATCCACTTTTTGGCTATGGTGTATGTTGGTTCTATAAACATTCACGTACAAGTTTTTGTTCACCTGTGTTTGGTATATTCCTAGGAACAGAATCACTGGGTTATATGATAATTCTATGCTTAGCTGACTGAGAAACTACTATTGAACTGCTTTCTACAGTGGTTGTACCACTTTGAATTCCCACAGCTGTGTAGGAGGCTTTGCATTGTTTCTCCACATTTTTATGAACACTTGTTATTTTCTATTTTACAAACTACTAATGGGTGGGATGCAGCTCAGTGACAGCACTTGCCTAGCGTACAACAGGCCCTGGGTTTGATCTCTAGCACTGCAAAAAAAACTTTTTTTAAACTTAAGAATTGTTTTTATAGCCATCCTAGTTGTTAAAAGGTAGGATCTGACTGTGGCTTGGCTTTGCATTTTCCTAATAACTAATGATGTTAAATTTCTTTCCATATGTGTCTTGGTCATTTACATATCTTCTTTGGAGAAACATCTATTCAATTTCTGTGCCTGTTTTTGAATTGAGTAGCCTGCATTTCTGTTGTGGAGTTGTAAGTGTTCCTTATATAGTCTGGGTACTAGGCCATTGCAAATATTTCCTTCCATTCTGTGGAATATCTTCTCATTTTCTCAATAGTATCTTTGAAGCATAAATTTTAAAAATTTTGATGTTTGATTTATCTATTCTTTCTTAGAAAACACTTCTGTACCTTTTTTTGAGTTCTGCAGTTCTACAGTTTTAAATACTACTGGACACTTAATAGATGCAAAAAGCTTTTGGGATTTTAGAAGAGATTGAGTATTGTAGACCCAACTACTAGAAAAGACTCTATATATAAAGCATTATTTTAGTGTTAGAATTAGCTTCCATGATTGAAACTAGAAGTGTCAAGACAGAATTGAGTCATGTGTAGACTGACAGATTTAAGACAGAATACTTTAAATATGCATTCTGAGGTAACTTAAAGGAGATCCTATTAAAACAATTCAAGCAAAATTTAAAAACTATAAGAAGGGTAATATTATGCTGTATTTATTACTTTCTTGTTGCTGGGACAAAATACCTGACATCTGCCACTTAAATGAGAAGTTTATTTAGTCTCATGAATTTAGTGGAGTCATGATCAGCTGGCTCCAAGGAAGAAATGGCATGGCAGAACGGGCATGGTGAAGGAAATCTACTTATTCCATACAACCAAGAAGCACAGAAAGAGAAGAAGAGGTGCTGGGGACAAGAATATGTGCTTCCAGCTGCTGATGTAGGTCAGTGGCACAGTTACCTGCCTGGCAAGTGCAATGTCCTGAGCTTGATTTCTAGTACCAAAAAAAAAAAAAAAAAAACAAACCAAACCAGAATATATACTTTTAGGTTTTACCTCACTGACTCACCCTCTCTGACCAGGCCCTACCTCCAAGCAAGTGAGACTTTTGGATGGACATTTAAAATCTAAACCATAAGATATGCTCAGAGTAATGCTGGGGAAAGATCTACCAATTCCCGAGAAATGCTTGAATTATAGAATACAGTGATATTCTTGTAGGGGGAAATATTAACAAATGCTACATACAGCTGTGGATGGGCTATAGGAAAAAAATATCAGCGAGAACCTGGGAAGAGGAAAAGAACTTATTTTATGGTTAAACTCTAAGCAAAATAAGATATGAAGTATTGCCCTCCACTTAGTAAAGGGTT